ATGGCCTGCAGCAGCCGGGGGGCGCCGGTGAGGCTCTGAAACCCCGCGCCGCAGCAGGAGAAGAAGGAGCCAATCACAATGACCCAGGGTGATGGCCAGGCCAGAATACCAATTACAGGGTTGTTCTTCACCGAGTAACCAAATCTGGAAGACCCCAAATTATACATTTGGCTTTCTGTACATGCAAACTTCACACCAAACATCAGTGAAAAGCCTGTATTCCACCATATGTTGCTCTACACCTAACAAAGAAAGAACAGTTAAACCTCAGCTTACTTGTCTCTCAGCACAACGCCTTCTATACAAGCTCCAAACAGCACCACAAAGGAGATATCTAACCATGAGGTTAAGATGGTAACACGGCAAATGAAAAACAAATACAAAAGCAAACTGATCTCCAAGAGTTTCAACCCACACAGACATGAACACTTAATCTCCAGCCATCCATCATAAACTGTCCAGATATCATCTTATTCCCACTTATGGGCTTGATTTGCAAATATCGGAGGATACAGATGAAAGAAGTGGTGAGAATAGCCAGTATTGTTCCAACTGGAATGGACCTTTGGGCATCTCGGAGATCACCAGACCTGTTAGAACCCGCCATGATACCTGAAACAAGAGACATTTTCATTCAATAAACGAGGCATCCACCTCACAAAGCGATCATTAAACTTTGAGGTCAATTTTTGCCGTCATTTATAACTCATTTCACATCTGAGGTCCACACATACCTGTGACCGAGGGGAAGTATATTCCCACCAACAGGGTGAAGTAGGTGGTGATGTCGCTGACAAAGTAGTTCTGGACTGTGCAGTTGGATGTGTTTTCAGTTGTTAGTGCAGGCGGTTTTTCTTTCTCTATCACTCTCTTTGCCGGACCGTAATTGCCCCACAAGTTATCTAATGGGAGAAGAGAAAGGGGAAATATGAATCATAATGATAAAAGCTTCAGAGCGCAGAAGAAAAAGGGGAGAATTCAGTTTGAAAATGGGGAATTTTAGACCCAAGCAAACTTTTGATTCCACGCAGCCAAAAGCTAAAGCCTGCTGGACTCTCACCCTTAATGACTCCGCTCAGGAGCCCCGGGATGGCCCGCAGTTCTGTCAGGTTGTTCTGGGAGAAGTATTCATCAGACTCTGGGTCACAGAGAAGGGTTTTGGCTACTTCCGCCTTCGAGCACGTTTCAAACATTTCGTTCTTCAGAGAGCGATTCCCTAGCAAACAGACACTGCAGAGGAAAAGAGGTGGAGAACGCGTTGTGCAAATGGAGCTTCGGTCCTCAGGAAGCACATTCACAAAGTTTGGTTTAGTTTAAAATTAACATTCTCTTATGCACCTTTCTTATCGCTGTAAATGGACATGCGTGCTGTGGCCAAGGATTTCTGCTTTAAATATGGAGTGAGGTTAGACAGCCATAATGATACTACATTTGAATGCGTTGCTCTGTATTCTTGACAAACTTGCACAGCAAAAAATAGATAAACTTTGCTCCCACCATCAAGTTTTTCCTCCTGTAAGCTGACTTCTAAGGTTTGCTTGTTAAAAAAAAAAAAACTGTGTGGAGTGAATTGTGTTTGTGGGATTACAGTCCAATGACGGCAGAAAAGCATTACATTTCACTTTTAGTGTGTCTTTTTACTAAACAAAAGCCCCACATATGTGCCATTTACTGCTCTCGGTCACTTACTTGAAGTCTGGTGGTTCAATAAGTGTCTTAATGGCTCCTGCATACGTGGCCAAGATGGAGAGACAAACACAGGAAAGAAACACCAGAGCCAGTTTGTTCACATACCTGCAAAGACAAGAGGAACAGAAATGAGCCTGTGAGCGAGGGAGTGATGTTTTCTCGCATATTTTCTGTTCAGATACTCACTTGACCCCAACAAACACCACCAGGGCCATCAGCACCAGGCAGCATGTGCCGTAGACACGCATGTCGTTGGGAACTGGCTCACCGTCGTTGTCCCTGAAGAGTGTGGCTGAAGGGACGATGTACGTCTGGAGGCAGACAAGCAGCAAAACGGATCAGATGAGTTCTGATTGGGCAACGGATGTGACCGGACCAACTGATTTGAAGGTAACATACCAGCAGGATCTCAATAGTGCCCAGTATGTACAGGGATCCAGCAAAGGTGGTTCCAAGGTACAGACAAATCCCCACTGCTCCTCCAAATTCTGGACCCAAAGATCTGGAGATCATGTAGTATGCGCCGCCAGCTACAAAGAGACGCCATCTTTGTTAATCTCCAACAAAATGCCTCGGTCCTATTTTCAGCTTTATTCATGACGAAATTGGTTAACCAATCAGGTTAAATTAAAATAGATCACTGCAGGTGCATTTGTACACTTCTGTGCCTACACAGCCGCTAAAGGGAGGATAAAAAGTGTCATCTGATACCTGGAACAACCCCGTTGGTAGCGATGGCGCTCATGGATATGGCGGTGAGCAATGTCTGCATGGAGGAAAAGAAGAAGAGTTCAGATGAGAGAGTCAACATGAGATCAGAGGTACTGTAAGGCCAACAGAAAGCTGCAATTTAAATATGCGGGCCCAAAAATGATGAGACATTGAAACATCCCCCGTGTGTGCACATAGTTCAGTTTCCAAATGAGAGGTAGCAACAAGTGGATTTTCATTAAATCAGCATCCATGATATTGTACAGTGTATTTCTACATGGAGATGCCCAAATGAAGTCAATTCAGGTTGTGAACATTCAACAAAAAAATAGATTCTGCCAACAGAGGTCAATGCTCAAAACAGAAATCTAAAGGAGGTTTTAATCTCAAACATCCTAAACCTGATCTTAGAGCTTCTTCTGCTCTGTTCAGTCTTTTCTAATGAGATATGAAACTGCCTTCGGTCACTCTGGCACCACAGCTTTTCCTAATGTTCTGCTCATACTCACACAGACGCAGCACATGGAGACAATGGCAAAAGAACCCAGGATTCCAGCGGAGCCAACAATCCATGTGAGACGCAGAAAGAGAATCACTCCCAGAATGTTCTGCATGCAGGGGAGGTAAACCCCGATGAAGGTTCCCATGTGGGGGACCTGGAGATAGCAAAGATAAACAGGAAAGAATCAAATAAAAGGAGGATGGTGTTGTTTTAACTCATGAAAGTCTACATTTCAGAAATTTGGAACTAAACATTCTCATCCAAAACAGAGATTTTTTTTGGTACCAATTAAACAGCAAAAGCTTAAATCTGCATAGAACATTAACAGTAAATTTAAAGATTATAATTTGTAAATTGTGATGAAAGAATATTATTTAATTACAAATGAATGAAAAGTTTATGTTTTTTGTATTGTATATTTCCTGCTATGCCCTCAAACTGCATTTTAACTGGATATCTGTGTAATGTGATGTGCATACTCCAACCTCAGTGACAGAAAAGCTACATAAGGACCTAAACAGTTAATCATAAGCCAAAAGTGTACACTATCACCATTTTTTGATGGATGATCAGAGGTTCATACCATGACAGCAGCCCTCCTTAACCCATCTTCAGCCTCCTCATGCTCACGAACCCCCTGAGAGAGGTTTGTGTAGTTGGCTAACTTGTTGAGAAGAGACGACACCATGGGGGCGCTGTCCATTTCCTCCTGAAGAAAGAATAGAAATGAAGCTCATAAAATCAGAGCTCTTGATCAGAATAAAAAGGTATGACTTCATAGTATCCATTTTAGGCTCAAAAACACAAAGTTATGTTTTGATTAACAATATAAAAAAGAAAAACAAAACAAACAAACATGGTCTCTTTTTCTGATCTCAGTATTGAGATTTTAACAGACATTCTGAGTCTTTAGTCGGTATTAAAAGGCCATAATTCTTGGGCCCTTTTTCAGATTTACAAACAACTCTGTGGGTGTATCGGTCTAAATTAGTGAAAAGAGAAGCCGATCAACTTTTTGTTCAAATCACCCGTGACCAACAGTGTGCTGACTCTCTGTTTAGTTCTAATCTTTTCTTTTTTATCTATCTATCTGACCACTATGCAGCCCGGTACCAACACAGTACCAGAGCTTTCATGTCATCTCTGTATATTCTATTAGATCTTGTTTTTCTTTATGATCTTGATGGATTCATTCATAAGAAAACACAATACTGTACGTCTTTTTTTTCTTACCTCAAACAGGGCCATGTTTTTTCCCTCGTAACTGTACTTTCGGTCATTGTCTGAGTGGATGAATGGACTGGACTCCCTCCGGTGGTCATCTCCATCTCCAGGGACACACAAGCAAAAAAAATTTATAAGGCAAGGTCTCTTTAAATCTTAGTTGCAGAAAGTGGTGACACAGCAGAGTGTGTAACTCTACAGGTTCACTGAATACCTGAACTAAAAACAAACCTCCTCAGCTGTCTGCACAATATAATGTGTGGCCTGTTGAGCCAAAAGACCTTCAGACAAGTTAATAGAACGATCCGAAACATGCAAGCAATCTTAGAAAACGATGGTATGAAGAAGATATTGTTTGTACTGTTATCATCTTGTCTAATCAGGACTTGGTGAGTATCTTAGGGCATTTGTCCTTCTGAGCACTGCAAACTACGTCACATAGTCTTCTTCCAACTAGGGCAGAAACAGTAACCAGTTTATTGCACTAATAGAACTCTTTGGGATTCAAGTTGAAGTTGTCAGCACATGTTTGGATTTCAATTTCTGAAGTACAGGACCCATTACAGGAAGTCAAACCTGAGCTTTTTAGCTTGTTTTTTTATTTCTTATATTAGTTGTAAATGAAAAACAAAAGTTGACATTCATCAGGACATCTATAGGATCTAAAATGGTTGTACAAGTCTATGTGAAACTACACTTTGTAGTATATATATCAACTTGTTCATTTGACTGAACTCGTACAAACCCACCTTTCAACCAGGCGGCGTTCCTGCTCATATTGTATGAGTAATCAGATTGATATCGTATCATATCATATCATGGTGACCAGACTCACCTGCAACTGGGAGCAGACAGTAAAGCCGCTACACAAAACAAAAAACCAGTGACAACAATACTGTTTGTGTGTGGCCCGTTTGGGATACACAAGGTCTTTAAGATTTTCAACTAATTGTTTTATCCACTGCCACCTAAACTGTCAGTCATTTTGACTCCACATTAGCTCATAAATCATGATTAATGTTCAGCTGGTAATGAACTGCACTTTACTGACATGACTTGTCAAGATGGAGTGTGTCTGTTTCCATTCTAAAACTGCATTCTCAGCCATTCTGTGTGCGGTGATCTGGAGCTGTCTTCACGTGCCTGTAGTTTGGCATTGGGCTCAAAGTTTGCCTTCCAAACGAAATACTGAGAGCTGCGAGTTAGTGTGTGTTTTCAAAATAGGGATGTCATTCTCAGTCCATTAACTTTAAGGAAAACAGTTGACTTCTGGGGCCCTGCAGGAACTCTGTTGGAGGAACAGAAGTGGTGGCCTGCAGATGAGGAGCAGCTGGTCAGTCTCTGGTTTCCGTAAACAACACACATCACAACAAAGGTGAAGAACTGCGAAGCCGGCATGCTTCCCAAAGCTGCCTTTTTTTCTTTCTTTATGCAAATAACCAACTTTTATTAGAAAGACAGATGAAAACCTTTCCAATGGCATGTGATCTGCTGTCCACCTGGCAGTCATGTAGAATCTGACCATCTTTTGCCTTGTTAGCCTCATTTCTTCGCTATCAGGTAAAAGACAATTTCAGTCAGTGAGCATTTTTTTCTGTAAGTTGGAAATGAGCTGCACCTTCTAAAGCTGCTCAGATCAAAGCACTGGAAATGTGTGCCTGCATCCAGCTGGGCTGTCCACAGCTATGCCCATTAGAGCTGCCCACACGTCCACTACAGGCTCACCTGGAGGGGGCCTGAATGCTAAACACTTCCTCAAAACACTGAAACAGCCATGCACAGTGTCCCACATCTGCCACTTCCATTACATGGCAGGTATCCACTGTATCTTTGATATATTCAAACTTCAAATGCAGTCTCAGTGTCTTACAATGCATATGAAGAGGAGAGATGATGTTTGCACTTAGCCTTAAGTTCAGCACAAAAACTGTCTGAATCTGCATTTCTCCGCTATCTAAACAGCCTGGTTACTCTTTTGAGTTTTCCACTGCTATTTCTCCCTTGACTCTGCAATTCTAAACATGGACATATCACCTTACAGCATTACCATGACAAGGGGAGGATCCTCCTCCCAGCCACCTCAGTCAAGCTGCTCTGCAGGTTCTGGCCGGCTGAAGCCTTTGAGCTGCGTCTTTCTTTGCCCGCGTGTAAAGAATTAGCCTGCCAAACTGTTTGTGTCAGCACGCTTCCGTTTGTGCGTGTTTACTCCTGCAGTGGATCACTGAGTTCATCTGCCTGCTCGCCCACTGGGTCCTCCTCTGTGGGAGGACTGGGATCGCCACGCTGGTAACCCTGTGTCTGCACACCGACAAGTCTAAGCAGATATTTATAGGTCTCTGATTTTACTCCTACCTGTTTGAGGTTCCTGTGAGTTGTCCCCATCCTGTTCCTCTTTGAAGATTTTGCTCACATTGGCTACTTTGCTTCCTCCTGCTGCAGTTCCGCTGGTTCCGCTGGTTCCACTGTCCTCCACATCCTCCACCGGCACCACAGTGAAGTTTGTGGGCATCTTGCTTTTTTCTTTTATCCAAATTCAGCGTTTAGAGATCAAACCTGTGATGATAGGAACTGCTGGACTTTCTCTCCCTTAAATAAAGCACTCGACCGGTAGGAGAACCCTGTCAGGGTTTTACTGAAGTTGTAAAAACTCCAGTGAAACCACAACACAATTCTCACTCCACATGTTTTGTTTCCCTACTCTTTGTGGAGTCCTCTAGACTCAGAGTGAAAGTACCGCCTCTTGCCCAGGAGGCAGGTCAAAGTCCTCTTGTTCATTCCCTCACTCGCCCTTCTTGTTCCTTTCCCTCCTTTTTCCCCCCACTGCTACAAGACTATTGCCCCATGTGACCCTCTATTTACCATTCAGACACAGCCTAGACATGGGAGTCCCACAGCTCCTCCCTCTTCTCTGACTGTCCAACTCCTGCCTCTCTCACCTTAGAGTTGACTCAACTAAACTAACTCCAAAGTTTCCAAACAGGAGCCCAACTTATCAAGAAGTCCACTTGAGAAGAAGCTCCTGCTGAACAGTCATGGCTTTACACACAAAGGCTTCTCTTTCCTGATCTCCAGCCTTTGACTTCCTCCTCCTCCTTCAGGCTGGCAGTTCCCGTCTCTGGTTTCTTCCAGGTAGTCAGAATGGGCGTTGCCTTTCCCACAGTGCATTCTGGGTAGTAGATGTTCATCATAAACACAATGCCACACATTTTCCTGCATGCACTGCAGCAGTAAAGGAAACACCTTGGACACCGTGAATGCCAGCTTTCCTCTTAATTCTGAGGACCAGCCTAGTTTACAATGGACAGTCGCAGGGGAAAAGGAGTCCCTTTTTAAAACAATGGAAACAAGTAAACATGAACTGTGTTCTGTTTGTGGGAGGGCTTATTTTAATGGCAATTTTTATTTATTTCTGGACACTAAAGGCTTTACTAGCCGTCACCATTCTTAAACTAAAGGTAATTAGTCTGTGCAAGGATGTGAAATGTAATTTACAGCAATCTTTTATTACCACCTTTGTGTAACCCCGTCAATCAACATTACACAATAGTGCGTGCTCCTGGTGGCAGGCAGCACCCGTGGGTGGGTCTAGTACAGCTCCTGTAAAGTTTTTTGCCAGCTAACTTAGTCTCATTTTTCTTTGAGACAACATATTTGTCTCATTTTGTGAAACCAGAGCGTATCTTAGCTTACTTTAGTTAAGCTGAGTTTCTTTCTTTGTTTTTGCTTTGTCTTTATATGAATGGCAAAACAAATCTGGCCACTGGGATGTAGTCCAGTCCTGATGTTTTCTGTCTTTTATCCAAAATGAACAAAAACAACGTATTGTTAAAGTGTTAAGTGCAGTGAAATTTGCCATTGTTCACACAACAAAAACTCCCGGTTCATGCAATCCTGCTCTCTTTTCAGCGTGTCACATTCCTACGTGCTCACTCTGATTGATGCCTGAAGTGTCTGTAAGAGCTCACACACTGGGAAGACTTTTTCTATGTGTGTGTAAAGTTTTAAGTGCTCCGAATCGCTCCGAGAACCCAACGCAGCACCTTAGTCTGATTGTTTTGTCTTAATTTAATTTGCATTTAAGCCTGTTTGACATTGCTATGAAAAACAACAACATATTTTAAAACCATCGCATAATTTTTTTAAAAGCTTTTGACCATTTGGTGCCCATTTAAGCTTTGTTTATTTAAGTCATTTCTTCTGTGCTTGTGATTAGTCAGTACAAGAAACAACTACAATGCCTGAAATCTTTGGTTTGTCCATTTATGACCACCAGAGGGTGATGCAGATTCATGGAAAGCTAAACTTACATTAACAATAAACTAAATAAGCTGAATAGATAGATAGATAGATAGATAGATAGATAGATAGATAGA